TATTATACCTGGTTCAAGTTTTTAGTTGTTTAAAAAATAGTGTTCCATTGTTTGTTTTTATTCTTTCCAGAATCGTCACTTTTCATTTAATGGGGTTTAATATGGAAGAAAGAAATATTTTCCCAGTTTCATTTTCCCTAATATGAGCATTATTATATCCATGATATACTCACACCTTATTTCACCTATGGAACAGAATAGGTGGAAGAAAAGGAATAACAGACATGCTTTGTTCTCAGAGGTTTATACTGTTAAGACATACACAATGTTATATACACATATTTACATTGCCCTACATAGAGAAAGTATAACACATGTCCATGCAACAAGGAAAACCAAAAGATAGGTTGTAATAATTCCCAACAGGAATTTGAACTGCCAGAGATTCTTCTGTGTTTCTGGAGAAGTCATATTTAGGATTCCAGATATGAATGGGCCAGATTTATCAGCTATGTCACTAGTGAAGACATATTTTTCTCAAACAGAAAACACAAAGTCATGAGTTTTTCCAACATGAGGACTGTGAGCTAGAAATAGTTTCTATATCTGATGAAGATATATTTCCATAAGAAAATGGTGTCATGGGCTTGTAAGCTGCACCATGTGACAGCTGGCTGGCCCAGGCAGAAAGAGCAACTAGTGTCTTGACTCCAGGCAGTTGATTGATAAAGTAGCCACTTCTGTCACTGTATGAAATGATGTCAATAAGCAACCATTATGTGAGCCACATGACTTTGTCTTAGCCACAGAGAGATAATCGCCTTTTGTATCCATACACATTCTTTGATGAACTGTTTTAAAAAAAAACGTTTCTTTACAAAAATTCCAAGTTTTTGATCTTTTAAATGATTTTTGAGCCCCTTTTTATTAAGATACTGTCATTTATAGCATAGAGAAAAATTTCATCCCCACCAATTATTAAGACCTCATATAATGAATAAAATATTTTGTTTAAAAAAATTCAAACAAGAACAGCCAAATGTTAATTTGCAGAAAATCTAATCAAGTTGTAACCTTATGCAAAACAATCTTTGATTTTAACCTTTTTGCATTCTCTTGTTGACTGCCCATAGATTTTAGTCAATAAGTAAAATAATACTTATTTTCTTTTATTATAACCAATCATGTTTAAAAAGCTTTTATTAGGTTATCATCAATAAATATCTTTAGTTCCCCTATCATCACAATTTGCTTCACCACTATATATAGACCAACATACAGTTATGAGCTGAATTTTTCAATGTATAATGTTCAATGTATGGGATTAATATTCATCTCTGAATTAGGTGCATTGACAAGGAAGGAGATGTAAAATAAATTTGTTGCATAAAATAAGAGCTTTTTTTCATGATAAAGTTGCAGGCTGCATGATGTATCTGTATACATAATCATTAGTAAATTAAAGTTTTGATGTATTTGTTTAATAAATTCTACCCCTATCACAGTTTATAGCAAAAAATAGTTGATGTTCTAAAACTTGATTTCTGACATAGTGATGAATGGTTTCAGTCACTTCATATTTTTATTATATATACTTTTACTGAAAGCAAAAGAAAGGCCAGAGATAATTAATGGCCTGTAGTTTTTATCATAAATTGCTTCCTGATAAATCAATTCAAAATTCCTTACTTACTTGAGATATTATCATCATGATTGCTAATCCTTTTGAATACATGTTTTACAAAATAACCTTCATGTACTTATTGAACAAACTGAGAAAAGCTTAGAGTTCAATGGATAAATAAATTTAGATAAAACACTTTATTTTTATGAGTTATTTTACAGGAATGCAAAGGATTTTATTTTTAAAAGCCTGGACATATCTATAGAACTAATTACTAGATTGTAAAATAAAATTTTAACAGCTCTTCAAGCATAACTATATTCTCAAATGACCTTCAGCTAAAATAGCATTTAGATAAACTAAAATGAAAAACCTATTTTCTAAAGCTTTTCTTTGTACTAGTTCCTATTTTGACTTTTCTAAATAACCTGCATGTAATAGTTTCCAATTTTAATCAGGTTTAAACACTCAGTCATTATCTAACAGACAAAACAAAACTCATTTCTAAACACATTATTAGCAGCAGGTATATGCACTGCATACAGCCATGTATTGTATTACTAACACCGAAAGGCTAAACAAAGTACAATTCGCCCAATGAAATCAGTAACAAATAAAAAGTGCCTTATATTTCAAATCCAGTATCTTTTTAATTTTTTGGCTTCAGCAGTTTAAACATTTCATTTTTATGTAGATGACAAATTTTTTACAATTCTCCCTAAAGAGATGACAATTCCATGCTTATGGGGATGTTCATGAATTCTTATAAAAAGCTATGTTTTATGTCCTTGTAATCAAAGGTAAAGTTCAGTAATCTAGCATTAGGTTAAATACCACAAACGTAGTGGGTAAATCCCCTCTACTGATGTCCAATAAGAACTGAATTCTAATATCTACATGGATACAGATATTGTATCCAAAAATAAATAAACCATTCTACCCACTCCTCAAAATAAGCATGATTTGCATTAAGGGCATGAAATACCCAGGGCTTGCAAGGAGTAACCAAGATATATGGTAGATCACTAGAAGTATTCTATTTCATCAATAGACTAAAACATTTGAACAATAAAAATTTGTATGAAATCTTTTTTTAATGCCATGGAGGGATGTAGGAAATCATTGCTCTTCAGAGATTCATTTTTTTATTATCTGTGAATTGCGCTGCATTCTTGGGAAAGATAGTGGAGTGGATTCCCATTGCCTTTTCTACAGTTTGAAAGTTTTCCTCCTGTTAGAATGGTTGCTGCCCAAAGCTAGAGAATGCAGTCTACCCTGCTATTCAGTCCATAATTCGGAGGAAAGAGATAGATTCATACCTTTCCCAAGGGTATTTGTATGAAAGTGAATGCAACAAATTGACTCACAATTTGAACTCTGCTTGCCAATTCCACTTATCCATACATAATTTAATTACTAAGGTTAAAAACATGATAGATAATAAACTAACACCTGCTATTTTATCAAAGTCATAATCCTCTGTTTGTTGTTCCCAAGAATGTTGCATTGAACATTCAACATATAAAAAATATTGCAAGGTCAGAGATCAACATATTGAATATCTATTTTAAATATTTGACAGACAATATCATTATGAACTTTCTTTGGAACTTGAAATGTTTTCTGCAGTTTTTCATGACAAGAACAGAAAAATCAAATCTTCATTTTACTTAGAAATTCCATATTGTTTAAAAAAATCCTTTGCAAGCTCCAAAGGGTCTGTAATGTTATTGCTCCTGATCTAACATCTCGACTTCAGTCACTTTCCTACCATCATAACATGGCTCCCCACTCTTTTTTATAAATATTTTCATGGCAGTCGTTCTAATGAGCTCTCCTCTTTGGTGCCTCAACCACATGAATTGAACTGTACTACTAAATTGGAAATTAGGTCTCATTGTTTTACTGTTGTAATTGTTAAATGTAACCGTAAGTTATATTCTAAGTTTCTTTTCTTGCACTTCTCAGCTGTGGAATTCTCTTCTGATTTCTCACTTCCCTGCTACCTACAATCTTCAAAGATTTAAATACATTGTCAATTGCAATTTTCTGTCTTCTTGAATTGTTTTTTTTATTGTCCTTTCTCCTCACTGAAGTCTTCTGTCTCTTCCACCCTCAGTAACTCCTTTGTCTTACTGACATTATCACATCACTTGGAGCAAAATGATATATATATATATATATATATATATATATATATATCAGTCATTATAAACTCCAAATATTTTATATTAAAATAAACTTAGTCACTTCCTATTTGACATTTCTTGTATTTAGATTGCAAACTATTTTTCAGTTAAAAAACAGGCTACTAATTTAAATGTCACTCTTAACTATTTTAATTTCTTCTGCCATAGCAAATGGGGATTTTTTTTCTTTTTAATAACAGAAAAAGAATAAATTAACAAATATAAGCAAAGATTCCTTTAGTGATTACTAAATATAAGAGGGTGTTGAAAAAGGGATTTAAAAAAATTTGATGTGATATTTTGGGAAGTGGGTTGGGCTGAAGATTTTTTTTTTAGCAACCTCTTAAATGTCACCGATACATAATTCTTTAGCAGCCGGATAATGTCTTGTCATGCTACATGATTTCTTACATTATATCTCATTGCTTATTTACTCAACTATAAACATTAACTTTTAAATAAGCTATACCTTGGAAATCATTTTTTTTCCTAAAAAATGCAATGCTATTTAATAATTAAATAAACCACATAATTTGTTAATTATATATATTGTGACTAGTATTTCTTTCATCTTAATTTTAGTTACCCTTTATTGTAACTTCATTCTTCAACTATCAGAACAAATTGTATATATAGAATAAGCCTCTGGGAACACTTAAACTCTCATCCCTTCTTCCTTGAGAAACCTGTCTCAGCATGACAACTGCCTTACCAATTAGGCCAGGGAAACACCCAAAACTTGAATCTAACCAAACTGCTATTTTAGTGAACACTGAGAAAATGTGATAAAAGTAAAATTCATATGAAGGAAATACAAGTTGAAAAATTAAGAATAACTGACAATGCTTAATCTTTGAGCCATAACTGGCAACCAGTCTAAGAGAAGGAAAACTCTGAATTCCAATTATTAATAATTAAGAATAATTGACAATGCTTAATCTTATAAATAAATTCAAGATAATATTGCTATTAATAGGAAGTACTTCTTTGGCTAACACTGGATTGATTCATTTTTTATGGCTTTGTGGGTTATTTAAAGCCAAAAAATATTTGAACAACACTGTAAGAACATATTAGGTGTCAAGATTTCTTTTTACCAACACAAATTGTGTATTGTTTGACCCCCCCCAAAAAAACGACTGAAATATCTTGTTTAATATTCAGATCAATTCCCAACATTTTTTAATCATAATAGTTGATCAATGACACATTTTTAATTCTGAAGAACACTTGTTTGTGACTTTTACTTATTCGCCTTTCTCTTTGTACATGAAGGAAAGTTGGCAGCTGAGCAGTATCTGAAACAAAAAAAATAAATCTACGAAACATAGAAAATACTCAATATCAAAATTTATTTCATTCAAACACAAGTCATTAAATTGATTTATAGGAATATTTATTAACCTTTTCTTCAACTTCATTAAATGTTACCAAATAGTAAAGAAAAAAAAATTCTACAGCATTTTATGCAATAATATATGTTCATGGCATCCACATGTATTCTGTATACAAAGAATATATTTTAACTATATAGTTCAGATCTGAGAAATATTTAAATCTTAACAGTTAATAGTCAAGTTGACATGTTCATAACACGAGTACATATTGTAAAGTACAGAATGGACATAAAAACTATAATATTAATCTTTATCTATTTCAAAGTTGAAAAATAATATTGAAACAGTTTTCTTTGATAGGATGCTCTATCTAACAAGTATGGATCTTTGATTCCAGTGAATCAAAAATAACTCAAGTTGAAAGGAGAGCAAACAGTAAAAATTAAAATCACAAACCTAATTATAAATGAATGACCATTGTTTTAAAATGAACATTTTTTTTTAACACATGAATGAAAGCTATATGTAATGAAACAACAGAATTCATACAGATTAACACCACTATGTACACAAATATACAAGAGGATAAACATGATTAACTGAGATGAATTCACAAGTTGGATCATAAAATAAATTTGATATCTCATGATCATAATATACTCTGTAGAGATAAACTTGCACAGAAAGCTTATCAACAACATCATAATCCATAAGAACTCAAATGAATGACAATTTATCAGTCCTAGAATGAATAATGGATTAAAATTTCACTTTGAAGAAAAAAAAAAAAAATTCCATGTTTGGATATGAAATGATGTAAAGCTATTAGATTTTCTTTTGAAAGAAATTTTATGTTGGAATATAATCTAGCATTGTTACTTCAGCTCTGAAGAGAAGCATTTAAAAAAAAATAAAATAAAAAAAATAATAAGGAAGAAATTGTCAGAAAAAATATTTCATATCGCAATCTTTTCAGAGTTTAATTTTAGTTAGCTTTATTCCTGCAAATCATTCTTATTCAATCTTTTTTTTGTTTTTGATGACAGTAGCTTTTATTTATTTCTTCCAAAATATATCCAAAGAAAAATAAAGAATTCATCATATAAGAAATAGCATAGCCACTAGTGAAGTTATTAGTGAAGCTCAGCTACATAACACACTAAAGATTCACATCACATCAAAAGGCTAGCTATTTATAAGCTACTGCCTCAATTTTTTTTTTTTTTTACCCTGCTCTTTACCCAAAGTTGTACAAAAGAAATTATAAACTGCCTGCCTTAATAAAAATCAGTGTTCAAAATTCCAAACCAATGAACCACTGACTTGATTTTTATTAAAAGATTTTCAAGATCAATCCTCAGAAAATTTGCAGTATTGTAAATCAATGAAAAAAAAAAAAAAAAAAAAACATTGTCAGTATTTAGCATTTAACAATATATCAGGTGACCCAAAAGTTCTTTCCTAGTAGATGTAAGATGGAATATAAGATCAGGCAATTCTTAAATAAGATATGGATTAGAAGAAGAGAAACTATGAAGAGGCACAATATTTCTCCACCTAAGATTAAGTGATTTTTGTGCTTTGAAAAAATGCTTTTAGTAAAAAACTAGAAGTTTGGAGTATTTTATAGCAAAATAAGTGAATCTCAGTTTTGTCATATTCTATAACCTTAGAAAAGATTTGTCATTGTTTACAACCAAATGGAAACCATTTGAATTATTAAATGATTATTACCTGAATTTCATTTAAGTTTTTTTTTTTTTTTTTATTTGCATGAAATATTGGAAGTGAAATGTTCCTTGCCATTTAATTTACAAAAAGAGAATTTGAAATGAGAGAAAGAAGCTTTGGAGGTCACCCATTATACCATGATTTATTTGCATTTATGTAATATTTGTACAAAATTAAATTCTGCATGCCAATGATCCATTTTAATTTGAATTTTTAAAAAATCTTGCCAGTGTCATGTGTACCATATAAAGAACAAAATTTGCTCTTTTTTAAAAACCTTCTGAACAAATGAGTAAGGGCAAGCTGCAATTGGTTGAGGTTAATGTAAGAAACAAAAATAAAGGAAAATATATTATGTAAGAAAAGGCTCTTCTTTCATAAAGTACATGAGTCTAATTTATCTGAAATGTGTGTCTGTATGCATATATGCAGTAAGCAATACAATTTACATTGATTTTTAAAATGCTTGATTATACATCTGAAAATAGTAAAAACTGAATAATAAAAATTCTTAGTTTATCATTACCAACTGGATTTTTGATTTTGTTCACTTAAATTTCAATCAATAAAAACAAGAACTTACTTTAAAAAAAAGGTAAAGAAAAAATAATATAAATAATGAGTATTATCACCTGATAATATTCCAGCAGATTTTAATGCTTTAGAATAAAAATAATAAAAAGGAAAGCTAAACAAAATATCAGTTTTATTAAGTATATTAAAGAGTTCTTTATTGAACAGTACTGCTATCTAGTTTGTTTTCCCCCTTAATATCAAAGGGAGGGATAAATGTTACCAACTGGAAAGTAACAATACCAGAAGAAAAATCACTGGTTTTAAATTGATTGTGGTTTTCTTACTATATTTGGCATTGAAGTTGAACATTGTAACCTATCTCTATGTTGCTACCAATCAAAAATATATGTATCTTGCACAAAAATGAAGAGCTTAAAAAAGGGATAATTTTGATGATTATAATGATCATTAAAATATGATCTTTCAAAAGAAATTACTATCATGAAGTTGCAAATCAAATGTTGCAAAACTGAATGCTTGACATTTAACTGTTTATGATAACATCACTACAAATTTAAAAAAAGAAAATAGTTTAAACTGTCTTTATAATTTCTTCCCACCTTAAATCTTAGCAAAGTATTTTTGTAATGGCTGATCAGTAGGTGTACATTTAGAATAGGGATCTACTTTCATTTTTTTTTAATCTCTTCCATTTACCAAAATAAAAACTTAATAGAAAAGTTGTTAAATATTTTCAAGGCAAAAACAGGGGACACAATGTTGGAAAAGATTTTGGGTATAAAACATTTGCTGGCATTTAATTAAAAGTTGAATAACTGTTTTGTCAAGCCAAAGTCTACATTTACAAAATGTATTTTGTTATCATTACTTCCCACAATTTGCACTTATGTAGCAATAGCTTTAATATAAATATCTTCATCTTATAGAAGGAAAAAATACCTTCTGATATATCTCCAATTGGCAAATCAGACAGCCTTTTTATTTTCAAATCAAAGGCATAAGCTTTAAAAACATACAACATTAATATATGAATCATTTTTTAGTCCCATTGGAGAAAAAAAAATTAAAGACATTTTTTTTGGCTTGGCATCAACTGGATACCCATGATCAATCTACCCGGAACATGTTGAAAGAGCTGAAAGTTTTGGATTCATAATTGTTGTTAAACATTCATAGATACAGAACTCCACTGTCCAGTCATTTGGTTTTCATCACAGACAGGGAGAGGAGAAAAAAAGACAAAATAAAATCAATTTACATAAATAACAGAATAAAATGAAGAGAAAATTCATTTATATTCAATATCATATACATTTTTCTCAAAAAAAAAAAAAAAAAAAAAAAAAAGCATTATAACAAATAAAATGTGTGATAATACTCCATGTACATGCATATATCATTAAATGCACATACTGGGCAATTTTAGTATATATAATAATGTGAATGTATATCGAAAGACTTTATTTTTCAAATAAATTAAAATTTGATAAATGTAACAAAATGCTCATGATGAGCTAAATTATTTAAAATTGTTAAAAGAAAAAAAAAAGTTATTCAAGCTTTACTTTTGTAGCAAGAACAAAACAGGGTAAAAAGTGTCTCCTGATAAATCAATGCCCAACTACTGATAATATAACTTTCAGATTTTCTTTTTCAAATTAGTCTCTTTTTTCTTTCCAAATTCTTATTTCCCACCCCCAATCAAAAATAGATATTCAGATACAAACATACTCATCATTTACCACATGCGTGCACACACACACACACAATACCTTTTAACCCCCTCAGAGTATGAAACATATTCATATTAAATTACTTTTGATAAGGATTTCCTCAACAGTATTTTCTTGTGTATAAAGAGTAGAATTGAGTAATCTCAATGAATGTAACTTCATATTGTACCACCACTGTTCTTCCTGCCTTCACACTGGCAGTGTATATTTTGATGCCTCTTCAACCCCACTGCAAAAGTAGAGCAAACACACAAAGAGGCTCAAGTCTGATAATAATAAAAAAAAAAATTGAAGTTCAGACAATTTTCAACCTGCCCATGTTTTTATTATTTTTCTTTGTAGTCTCAGTTGCAACAATTGACAACTGAGTTGACCCATAAAATAAATACAAGTGTAGCATTCATTCAGCATAAAGCTACATTGGCCAATTAATTAGCAAGGATCCAGAGAGATAACTAATAGTGCAATGAGATTAAAAACAAAGACACACAATTGAACAGCAGGTAATGAAACTTAAAAAAAGTTGGTCTAACACAAGCAGCACAATCAGTTACAGAAAACAGAATTAAGAAAAAAAATCTTTCTTCTATGATTAGATATTGGAGATCAAGTTTAGCTGTCTTCAACTAATTCAAATATAGTTTTTGGTTTTTAGTTAAAAAAAAAAAAAAAAAAAAAAAAAAAAAAAGTTATTCAATCACAAAGAAAAGCCACAAATATTTCTTATTGAAATAATGAAAGACCTTTTTGCATTATTCTAAGTTAAAGACAGTGGAACATGAATTTCCAATTAAACCCTACTATCAGTTCATCAATTTAACAAATTCAGATAATTAACTTAAAGGAAAAAAAACTATAGACAAATTAACAGCTGTGTGCTAAAAATGATGAATGCCAACAAGGGACAGTATATTTCAAATTTGATGTAAAGAAACTTTCTTTCAGAATTAACACATTGTT